CCATACCAGCGACTTAGGGGGAAAATGAATAGAAGATCCCCCACACACATGACTAACCTGAGTATCAGGCTTTCGTTCTGCTGTTCTCCACCTCACACCTTACCTTCAAAACACGTGACTACACACTGGTTAAATTTACTACATCTGAGATACTGATATAGGTTGCTATAGTTAGACACATGCACTTATCTTCAGAAGTGTACCGGCTCTCCAAAGCTTGTAATTCTTTTGGTTGTCAGAAGCTGTTATTGCAAGCTAGGGGCAATATTAGTGTTGTTTGTTCTATGATGGTGCCATTAAGACCCTTGGAGGGCTGCTACCGGACCACTTAACTTGGACTTGGCATTTGTTGATAAATGGTGCCTGTACGTGTAGCCGATATGATTGCGAGTTTGCCAATAATTTGCAAGTAGACAATACCAATGTCGATAGATCACGATCACCGAACTTTGCGCGTTGCTGTTCTCAAGGGGCATATACTAAAGAAGCAACTGTTCTCCTTCTAAGGCGAAAAATGATGGCAAGAGTGAATTACTTGGTTCAGGAATCGCCGAAGTGCAGCTCCAACTTTACAATAGGAAGCCTGATCAACATTTATCTCTTCATAGTATGAGCGACATTCCGAATGTCTTCAATGGGTCAGTCACGGTTTGTGCATCTTCAAAAGTTTAGCCTTGTCTTTCTTTTTTTTTTTTTCACAAGTTCGTCGTTTGTAATTGTGCTAATCTTCTCCATCCTTAACCATCCTTGGTCCTTCATAGTTTATCATTATCTCTCTGGTGTGTTTCTATCGTCTTAAACTACTATTTTCAGGCTTCCTTCACTTTAAAGATAATTTTGTACTTGGCCAAAATAACTCAAAATGCCGTGACCAAGCTCCTTTAACTCAAATACTGCGTACTGCCCAGGTTGAGCGTCACTACAGAACATGTTTGCATAACAAAGCAAACAAGATCCAATCTTTATTAGTTCCTTGTATCGTATGCGCAGGTTATTGTCAGCACTGGCAGAAAGAGAAGAGTAGCCCCGTTGCTTGATGATAATTATTGGTGACGGCCTTCATAACTTTATTGACGGCTTGGCCTTTGGAGCATCATATTCCAATTCAACTTATGTTGGTATCAGCACCTCATTGGCAATATTCTGCTAAGAGCTACCACACGAACTTGGTAAAAATCATTACTTGATGCAGTTTTCTCACTGTTATTTACAAATCAACCTGTTGATGGTAATTTGGTATTGGGATGTCAGTTATTTACCCTCTTACCTTTCTCTTGCGCGGGTGTTAGATAAATAAATAAATAAATAAATAAATTTAACAAATCGAATGTGGTTTAGCGTGGTCTGTACACTTATCGACGAGTTCGCGTCATCACAGTGGTCAAAATCTTGTGGACTCACGAGGCGAAGCCGGGTGAGTCCACAAGTATCGAGTATCGTTGTCGATAAGAGTGCAGACCACGCTGAACCACATTCGATTTGTTTTTTACTACAATACCAACGTCAAAGGAAATGTTTTTTGTTTTCAGAGTGCGACCTGAAAAACGGCTTGCGAGACACATCGACGCGAGCAGCGTTGTCTGGACTCTTATCGACAACGGCAAATTACCCAACCAATCAGATTGCGAGATTAGTAGCAATTGTCGTAAAAAATAAAAAACTAAAAGTAAATAGTTTTCATGCTTTCTAAGCTGATAAAACTTTGAGTTTTCTTCGAATAACTATATTTGTTGAATTTCACTTGTTTGCCAGGTGATTTTGCCATTCTTCTCAATGCTGGCATGTCGTACAAAATGGCGCTGGCATTCAACTTTCTCCCGGCATGTGCTCGTTATCTGGGGCTGATCATTGGCTTGATACTTGGCACCAAAACATCGGCAGTCAGGTGGATCTATCCACTCGCTGGAGGAATGTTTGTGTACATTTCATTAGTTGACATGGTTACTATATTTTCGTTAAGCATGGCGCTATCATTTATTAGTAGAATTCTACTAATTTGTCAATGTAAATGCTGCAATCTGATTGGCCGAGCCATCGCACACTATCAGCCTTTGGTCAACAAAATAGCAA